AACATGCACCAACATGCCCAACATGCCCAACATGCCCAACATGCACCAACATGCCCAACATGCCCAACATGCCCAACATGCACCAACATGCACCAACATGCACCAACATGCACCAACATGCCCAACATGCACCAACATGCACCAACATGCACCAACATGCACCAACATGCACCAACATGCACCAACATGCACCAACATGCACCAACATGCACCAACATGCACCAACATGCACCAACATGCACCAACATGCACCAACATGCACCAACATGCACCAACATGCACCAACATGCACCAACATGCACCAACATGCACCAACATGCACCAACATGCACCAACATGCACCAACATGCACCAACATGCCCAACATGCCCAAACATGCCCACATGCCCAACATGCCCAACATGCCCAACATGCCCAACATGCCCAACATGCACCAACATGCCCAACATGCACCAACATGCCCAACATGCACCAACATGCCCAACATGCACCAACATGCCCAACATGCACCAACATGCCCAACATGCACCAACATGCCCAACATGCACCAACATGCACCAACATGCACCAACATGCCCAACATGCACCAACATGCACCAACATGCACCAACATGCCCAACATGCACCAACATGCACCAACATGCACCAACATGCCCAACATGCCCAACATGCCCAACATGCCCCAACATGCACCAACATGCCCAACATGCACCAACATGCCCAACATGCCCAACATGCCCAACATGCCCAACATGCCCAACATGCCCAACATGCACCAACATGCCCAACATGCACCAACATGCCCAACATGCACCAACATGCCCAACATGCACCAACATGCACCAACATGCCCAACATGCACCAACATGCCCAACATGCACCAACATGCCCAACATGCACCAACATGCCCAACATGCACCAACATGCCCAACATGCACCAACATGCACCAACATGCACCAACATGCACCAACATGCCCAACATGCCCAACATGCCCAACATGCCCAACATGCCCAACATGCCCAACATGCCCAACATGCACCAACATGCACCAACATGCACCAACATGCCCAACATGCACCAACATGCCCAACATGCACCAACATGCCCAACATGCACCAACATGCCCAACATGCACCAACATGCACCAACATGCACCAACATGCCCACATGCCCAACATGCACCAACATGCACCAACATGCACCAACATGCACCAACATGCACCAACATGCCCCAACATGCACCAACATGCACCAACATGCCCAACATGCACCAACATGCCCAACATGCACCAACATGCACCAACATGCACCAACATGCCCAACATGCACCAACATGCACCAACATGCACCAACATGCACCAACATGCACCAACATGCCCAACATGCCCAACATGCCCAACATGCACCAACATGCCCAACATGCCCAACATGCCCAACATGCCCAACATGCACCAACATGCACCAACATGCCCAACATGCACCAACATGCACCAACATGCACCAACATGCACCAACATGCCCAACATGCACCAACATGCACCAACATGCACCAACATGCCCAACATGCCCAACATGCCCAACATGCCCAACATGCCCAACATGCCCAACATGCCCAACATGCCCAACATGCACCAACATGCACCAACATGCACCAACATGCACCAACATGCACCAACATGCCCAACATGCCCAACATGCACCAACATGCCCAACATGCACCAACATGCCCAACATGCACCAACATGCACCAACATGCACCAACATGCCCAACATGCACCAACATGCACCAACATGCACCAACATGCACCAACATGCCCCAACATGCACCAACATGCCCAACATGCACCAACATGCCCAACATGCACCAACATGCCCAACATGCACCAACATGCCCAACATGCACCAACATGCACCAACATGCACCAACATGCCCAACATGCCAACATGCCCAACATGCCCAACATGCCCAACATGCCCAACATGCACCAACATGCCCAACATGCACCAACATGCACCAACATGCCCAACATGCACCAACATGCCCAACATGCACCAACATGCCCAACATGCACCAACATGCACCAACATGCACCAACATGCACCAACATGCCCAACATGCACCAACATGCCCAACATGCACCAACATGCCCAACATGCCCAACATGCCCAACATGCCCAACATGCACCAACATGCCCAACATGCACCAACATGCACCAACATGCCCAACATGCACCAACATGCCCAACATGCCCAACATGCCCAACATGCCCAACATGCCCAACATGCCCAACATGCCCAACATGCCCAACATGCCCAACATGCCCAACATGCCCAACATGCCCAACATGCCCAACATGCCCAACATGCACCAACATGCCCAACATGCACCAACATGCACCAACATGCACCAACATGCCCAACATGCCCAACATGCCCAACATGCCCAACATGCCCAACATGCCCAACATGCCCAACATGCACCAACATGCACCAACATGCACCAACATGCACCAACATGCCCAACATGCACCAACATGCCCAACATGCACCAACATGCCCAACATGCACCAACATGCCCAACATGCACCAACATGCACCAACATGCACCAACATGCACCACATGCCCAACATGCACCAACATGCACCAACATGCCCAACATGCACCAACATGCACCAACATGCACCAACATGCACCAACATGCCCAACATGCACCAACATGCCCAACATGCACCAACATGCCCAACATGCCCAACATGCCCAACATGCACCAACATGCCCAACATGCACCAACATGCCCAACATGCACCAACATGCCCAACATGCACCAACATGCACCAACATGCACCAACATGCACCAACATGCCCAACATGCACCAACATGCACCAACATGCACCAACATGCCCAACATGCACCAACATGCACCAACATGCACCAACATGCACCAACATGCCCAACATGCACCAACATGCACCAACATGCACCAACATGCCCAACATGCCCAACATGCCCAACATGCCCAACATGCCCAACATGCCCAACATGCCCAACATGCCCAACATGCACCAACATGCACCAACATGCACCAACATGCCCAACATGCACCAACATGCCCAACATGCACCAACATGCCCAACATGCACCAACATGCCCAACATGCACCAACATGCACCAACATGCACCAACATGCACCAACATGCCCAACATGCACCAACATGCACCAACATGCACCAACATGCCCCAACATGCCCAACATGCACCAACATGCACCAACATGCACCAACATGCCCAACATGCCCAACATGCACCAACATGCACCAAACATGCACCAACATGCACCAACATGCCCAACATGCACCAACATGCCCAACATGCACCAACATGCCCAACATGCACCAACATGCCCAACATGCACCAACATGCACCAACATGCACCAACATGCACCAACATGCCCAACATGCACCAACATGCACCAACATGCACCAACATGCCCAACATGCACCAACATGCACCAACATGCACCAACATGCACCAACATGCCCAACATGCACCAACATGCACCAACATGCCCAACATGCACCAACATGCACCAACATGCACCAACATGCACCAACATGCCCCAACATGCCCAACATGCCCAACATGCACCAACATGCACCAACATGCCCAACATGCCCAACATGCCCAACATGCCCAACATGCCCAACATGCCCAACATGCCCAACATGCACCAACATGCACCAACATGCACCAACATGCACCAACATGCACCAACATGCACCAACATGCACCAACATGCCCAACATGCACCAACATGCCCAACATGCACCAACATGCCCAACATGCACCAACATGCACCAACATGCACCAACATGCACCAACATGCACCAACATGCACCAACATGCACCAACATGCACCAACATGCACCAACATGCACCAACATGCACCAACATGCACCAACATGCACCAACATGCACCAACATGCACCAACATGCACCAACATGCACCAACATGCACCAACATGCACCAACATGCACCAACATGCACCAACATGCACCAACATGCACCAACATGCACCAACATGCACCAACATGCACCAACATGCACCAACATGCACCAACATGCACCAACATGCACCAACATGCACCAACATGCACCAACATGCACCAACATGCACCAACATGCACCAACATGCACCAACATGCACCAACATGCACCAACATGCACCAACATGCACCAACATGCACCAACATGCACCAACATGCACCAACATGCCACCAACATGCACCAACATGCACCAACATGCACCAACATGCACCAACATGCACCAACATGCACCAACATGCACCAACATGCACCAACATGCACCAACATGCACCAACATGCACCAACATGCACCAACATGCACCAACATGCACCAACATGCACCAACATGCACCAACATGCACCAACATGCACCAACATGCACCAACATGCACCAACATGCACCAACATGCACCAACATGCACCAACATGCACCAACATGCACCAACATGCACCAACATGCACCAACATGCACCAACATGCACCGACATGCACCGACATGCACCGACATGCACCGACATGCACCGACATGCACCGACATGCACCGACATGCACCAACATGCACCAACATGCACCAACATGCACCAACATGCACCAACATGCACCAACATGCACCAACATGCACCAACATGCACCAACATGCACCAACATGCACCAACATGCACCAACATGCACCAACATGCACCAACATGCCCCACACGAGTCACTCACATGTACCACATCGTCCAGCCCCTGAGCGTACTGCACCAGGTCTTCCCTCATCTCCAGCAGAATCGCCAGCACACAGAACGTCGTCATCCTCTCAACCTCCACCTCCCCATCCTCCTCTCCTCCCCCCACCAGCACCCCCTCCTCATCCACCTCCCCCTGTGGGGACGGGATCTCAGCAACGGACAGAGCAGGGGACGATAGGTTAGACTCGGTAGGGGAGGCCGGAGGCTCGGCGGCAGGTTTGGTGATGGAGCTGGGGAGAGGTGCGGACGGGGCGAGGACCATGAGAGGCGGGATTGAGGGGCGCCTGCGGTCCAAGCCTAAGCCCGAGCCTGAGCCCGAGCCTGTGCTTGAGGCTAGGGAGGGAGAGGTTTGGGAGATGGGACTGGTGGTGCTGCTTGGGCTGTCTGTTGCTGTTGCTGCTGTTGCCAGTACTGTGGAGGAAGAGGAGGATGGTGACGATGACGATGGTAGTGTGGTTGTCGCAGCTGGTGCGGAGAAGGCTGGGGGTGGTGGTGGCAGTACTTTAGGTGCTGTGGCAGACGAGAGAGGCTTGAAGTGAAAGGCTTCCTCTGTGCCTGCTGCAGGAGCGGCAGGTGCAGCAACAGCAGGAGGAGGAGGAGGAGCAGGAGCAGGAGCAGGAGCAAGAGCAGGAGCAGGAGCAGGAGCAGGAGCAGGAGCAACCACAGCAGCAGCAGGAGCAGCAGCAGGAGCAGCGGCAGGAGGAGGAGCCAAGGGCAGCGAAGGGCTGTGCACCACGCTGAATCCCTGCCAGTCCGCATCCGCATCTGCCTCTTGCCCCGCTTCACCACCCTTCCTCCCCCTTTCAGACACTTCCTTGCGCTCCCCATCCTCCCCTACCCCTTCACTCAATGCCCCACCCATAGCTATCACATCTGCTGTCTCCTCCCCCCCTCTCTCAGTCACCCTTACACTCGATACCGCTGCTTCCCGCGGGCCACTCGTGCCTTCCTCTGCTCCCCCGCCTGCCTCTTTCTCCTTATCGCTCTCACCCGTTGCTTCCCCTGCCTTCTGCAACCCCCAAAACCCCTTCATTCCTCCCTCGCCACTGGCGCTTCTGTGATGAGTGGGTTTTACTTTATCCCTTTGATTCCGTTCCCCACTTAAACTCCTCTGAGGCGTTCCCAACCACTCCCCACCCTGCCCACTCTCCTTGTCTATGTGTCGCCTCCCCTGCTCCCTCCCCTCCTCCCCCTCACGCCCTCCCATCACCCCTCTTGCCTCCCGCGGAAGGCTGTGCCACCCTTTGGCACCCCCTTTCACCGCACTCGACCCCATCGTCGCTCGGTTCGTATCGTCGAAAATCTTAGCCAGGAAATCTCTAGAAGACGGGGATTTAAGCGCCAGCGGGGATTTAAGCAGGTCAGGAGGAACAAACGGCCGAGGGGACTTCATTCCAGCGCTTAGCTCAGGGGGGATTCTGAACGGACCAGGAGATTTCAGCCCAAGAGTCACCTCAAAAGGGAGGGCAAAGGGCACGGAACCCGGGGATTTTGGAGGGTGTTCCGCCCGGGGTGACTTGAGATTCAGGTGTAATTCAGGGGGAACCCTGAGGTTCAATCGGCGGAGGGGAGCCTTGAAGATGCTAGCAGGAGAGGGGGGAGAGGCGCCAGACAGAGACCTCGAGTGGGGGAACAAGTGAGAGGGTTGATGATGAGGATGGTCTTTGCTCATTTGGGTTCCACTCTCATGCATCGACCCCCCTCTGCCTTCATAGGACGCTCTAGCGAGGGACTTGGAGGGTGGGAAGAGGAATGGCACGTCTGGTAGGGCGTCTGGTGGTGGGTCGCCCGGTGAGTCGTCTGGTAAGGCGTCTTGTAGCGCGTCTGGCTCCTCCAGTGCTCCCTCTGGCATCAGATCGACCTCCCGATCTTCTTGTACACGGGGCCCCGTATGGATAATACCAATGCCCAGTTCGGGTGCCGATTGGCGCTTCGGTTCTGCTTCGTGGTTTGGTTTAGCCTCGTGTTTCGGTTTGCCGGCCTTGCTGCTTGTGCTGCCTGCTGTGCTGCCTGCGTCTATGCCTCCTCCTGTGATACCAGCCATGGTGGGAGCAGCCGGTAGGAAGCGAGGGGACTTAGAGGAGCCTCCCCAGCCGTGCCCGAACATGCTGCCGGATGCCGAACCTGCAGCCTCGGTGCCCGAGCCTGCTGAGCCGACCCTAGGAGATATGGGAGGCAGGCCTAGGGGAAAATGGCTAGTGCGAGCAGCACCACCACCACCAGCACCACCACCAGCACCACCACCAGCACCACCACCAGCACCACCACCAGCACCAGCACCAGCAGCGCCACCCATGCTGCTGCCGGCCTGCCTCCGCTTTCCCACTGCAATGGGCAGATCAGCAGGTGAGGCGGGGCGAGCAGAGGCAGAGGAAGAGGGTGAAGGGAGAGAGCGGGAGGGCTTGTGGGAGAAAGTGCCAGGCGACCTGGGAGGCAGGAAGAGAGAAGGCTTTGTGTCGGAGCCAGCTGCAGCAGCAACGCCAGCAGCACCAGCGCCAGCGGCAGCAACAGCAGCAGCACCGGCGGCAGTGCCAGCGGCAGTTTCAGGGAGCTCAACACGGGGGGGCCTTAGTCGCTGCAGAGGAGCACTCGAATCGTCCTTGCTGCCGCCCCCTGTTCTGCTCTCGTTACCCCATTGAGGACCAACGGGGGCAGACCCAACCACTACAGCAGTACTGACAGCAGCAGCAGCAGCAGCGGCGGCGGCGGGGGCGGCGGCAGCGGTTGCGGCGGCGCCAGCAGCGGGAGCACCTGCATCAGCAGCAGGGGAGCGGAGAAACGAGGGCGAGGAGCCCTCCTTGGGAGAATGCCCTCTCATATGCCTCTGGCTCCACTCAAACGTCGCACGCGTGGGTGCAGGCACTGCTAGCAACGGCACTGCAGGCGTAGGGCCCGACAACGGCGAGGTGCCATCCTTCTCCCTGCGCAACGCCCCTTCCAGCGCAGGGATCTTGGGGCTACCTGCCCTCCCCAGCTCCCTCTGCGTCACGCTCAGGGGCGTTTTCGGGCTGTCTCTGAGCATACCCCCCATGGGCGACCCCAGACTGTCCTGCTGGCCCTTCAGGGCCCCTATGGGCGGCTTCGGACTGTCCTTTGCGACGCCTATGGGTGTTTTTGGACTATCTTTAGGGCCGCCCTTCACGGCGCCTATGGGTGCTTTCGGACTGTCTCTCAAGGGGAGAGGCGGCATGGCCCGAGGAACCAGGTTAACGCTGCAACTGCTGCTGCTGCTAACGGAAGACAAGTGCTCTTCATCGCTTCTTACCCGCCTCACATTCATATTCCCAACTCCTGAAGGCGCCGTTGCTGCAACTGCTGCTGCTGCTATTGGCGCTCCTCCTTCTTCTTCCCCATCTGCTCCTTCATGCCTTCCCTCCCTCCGAACCTCAGAGCTTCTCCTCCGTTGCTGCTCCGATGGTGATCCAAACCCTCCACCCGAGCCTCTTCCCGAACCTAGGTCTGGCTCCGAACCGAAACTCACCCCCCTCCGCAGCTTCTCCCTGCGGGACCTCGCCGAGCGACCACCAGCGCTCCGTGCCGAGCCTAGCGCCGGGCTCCCGTGCCTGCGGAAGCTGGTTCGGGAGGAAGGTTCGCGCAGAGCAATGGTGGCCGCAAACCTAAGATTATCCCGCCTGTAAGGCCCGGAATCAGCCCAGGTGAAGGAGCGGGAGAGGGTGCGAGAGGAAGGGGGGGTGATGGAAGGGTTGAAAGAGGAATCTGCTGTGAAGCTGCGGGAGGCATTGTGGTTGGTGCCTCCTGTTCTGCTGAGAGACGTAGTTGTAGCAGCTGTAGCGGCAGCGGCGGAAGCAGCAGCAGTGTAAGAAGGTCCGGCAGAAAAAACCACGGCTGGGCTCCAATTGCTTGTAACTGTAGCAGCAGTGGGCTTCTCATTCTGCTCCAAATCTCGACTGAAACCCCAAAAACTTTCATTGCTGCCCTTGACCGCTGCAGCAGAAGCAGCAACAGAAGAAAGCACAGCAGAGAAGTCGTGAGCAGCAGCTGCTGCTGCCTCTCCCATGCTCCGATGCTCCTTCATGCTTCTGTGGCTTTTCAGCTCTGCCAACTGCTGTTCCTGCTTCCACACGAGTGGTAGGTGCAGCGGGCGCAACAGCATCAGCCCCGGATGCATGCTCTGATACCTCCTCAGAAACCCGTGCTTCTGCTTCACCTGCTGCAGCTGCTGCTCCAGCTGCTGCTGCTTCTGCCGCTGCTGCTGCCGCTGCACGGCCACCGCTGCAGCCTTCTGTTTCTGAGAGCTGTTTTGCCGGCGGAGCAGGCGCGAGTGGAAGGAGGACGAGGACGGCTGGTGGTGGGAGGAGAGCGGGAAGGGGAGGTGGGTACGGGCCCGCTGGGACGGGTGGGAGGGGTGCGAGGGCGGGGCGAGGATGGTGGGGAGTGCGTTGACGTCAATGCGGGGAACGTCGAATTTGAGCGAGCCTCCCATGGGGCGCTGCAGGGAGCGGCTAGAGCCTGAAGAAGCTCCGATGCTGCTAGATATAGAAGAACCTGCAGCTCCTGCAGCAATGATGCTTAGAGAAGCCCCTCCAGTGGAGTTGGAGCTTTGTTGTCTACCACTGGTATAGTTGTTCCCCTTGTTGCTCATGCTGTTGCTGCTGGTCGTGGTGCTGCCGGTGGTGATGCTGGGGATTTTCATCTCTCTCTCCGTCCCCATTGACTGGTATCTGCGCAGCGGGAGCGGCGGCCGATCCTGACCGTCCATCTGGAGTGGCCTCGCAGCTGGAGAATCTGCACCGTTACTTCCTGCTCTGCCATCCACCCCCTCATTTCCTGTCCTCCCCATCTTCTCTCCTCTCCGCTCGTCCCCGTCCTCCTCCCTCCTCCTCTCCGCCTCCTCTCTCTCACTCCCTCGGCCCTTCCGAGCTACAGCAGGAGGAGGCCTCCCTGTGTCGAACCCTGCTCTCCCATACCCACTCCGAGCCAAAACCCCTTCCCCACCGCCCCCACCTCCTCCGCACCCATCATCCCCCTCTCTCCCCTCTCTCCCCTCCTTGCACTCTCTTCGCCCTCCTCCGTCTCTCCCAGGCTCGCTCTCCTTCCAGTTTCCCCCTGACACAGACCGCACAATCCGCCCCCTCCCCTCGCCCTGCCCCCACTCAACACAGCTCCCCACACCCCCTCTCAACGCCGCCCTCCTCCGAGCCTCCAGCTGCTGGCTAGTCGGCAGCCTCTCATCCGGAGGAAGGTCCTTAGACGGATCAAAGGCCACTCGGGAGGACACAGCAGAGAGATCTAGCACTGTGTCTTCTGCGTTGCTGCTGCTGTGCCTGTGCGCGGAGGCGAACGGAGGAGAGGAGGAGGCAGGGAGGGGCGGGCGGGTGGTGCTGCTGCTGGCGGGCGGGCGGGCCGTGCTGCTGCTGCCCATGACGTGGATGGTGATGCTGCGGGTGAAGCCAAACAACCCATCAAATAGCCCCTCGCTGCTGCTGCCTGCTACACCCACTGCTGCTGCTGCCTGGGTGGGCTCTGCCGCTACAGCTGCTGATGGCTCTGCTGCTGCCGTGGCTGCTGTGCCATCAGATCTGGTTTTCGAGTGTGTTGGTGCCATGAAAGTTTCAGTCGCATGTGGGTGGGTGTTGCTGGTGGTGGTGGCGGTGGTGCCGCTGGTGGTGCTTCCGTGAACGTGTGTCAGCTCGCTGGCAGAGTGGCTTTGATGCACTTTCCTACTGCCGCCCACCCTCTCCTCGCCCCCACTGGCAGCACCAGCGCTAGTAGCAGCTGTTACATGAGCTGCAGCATCAGCAGCAGCAGCAGGAGCAGCAGGAGGAAGAGGGGGAAGTGGAGGGTCGTCCTTTTTGCCCCACAAGAAGAGAGCAGTAGCAGGAGCAGGAACAGCAGGAGCAGCAGGAGCAGCAGGAGCAGCAGGAGCAGCAGGAGCAGCAGCATCGTCCTTCTTGCCCCACAGGGACCGCATGCGGCCAAAGAAGGACGGCTCACTACCAGTTGCACTCCGACTGACTCCAATCGATCCCCCTGCTGTGTCTGTGCCTGCCCCTTCCGCTGCTACCATGCCCACCCCTCTATCTGCCCCTCCAACTGCTGCCCCTCCTTCCCCTCCCACTTCTACCCCTGCAACCCCCACCTCTTCAGCTTCCTCCTCTTCCTCCTCTTCTTCCTCCCACACTCCCGCTATTCTAGCCGCTGCCTCAGACAGGCGCCTCTCCCTCCCCCACTCCCCCTCCTCCTCCTCCTCCTCCTCGTCCTCCTCCCCCTCACTCTCTCCCCCTTTTGCGCCCTCCTCTCCCTCCCTGTCCTCCTCTGAACTATACCCCGTGCTCTCCTGATCCTCCTCCCCGCTCTCACCTTCTAAGTCACTGCCCTGACTCTCACTCCTACTTCCCTCCCCCTCCTCGTCCTCCTCATCCTCCTCTTCACTCTCACTCTCTCCATATGCCTCCCCATCCTCCTCCTCCCCTTCCCACCCCTCCTCTCCCTCCTCCACCCCTCCACCGTCCTCCCACTCCTCTGGCACAACAAACTCCCTCCCACCCACTCCCTCACCCCCTTTCCTCCCCATAAGAGCCCCAGAAGCAGGGGTATCAGGCACAGCGTGCACAGCAGCCTGAGTCACAGCCAGCTCGGCAGCCATAAGGGCGATCTCCAGCCTCTGAGGGGAGGAAAACAGGTCCACTGAGCCTCGATCCGCATCCTCATGTGGCGCTGCGAACGCCGACGTGCCGCCGCTGCCGGCAATGCTGCTCGCAGTACCCACCGAGCCAGACGCATACGTCGAAAGCGACCCACCACCACCAACAACACCACCACTGCCGCTGCTGCTGCTGTTGCTAATGCTCCCAGCGCCGCCAGCACTGGAAGCACCAGTACCACTGGGAACAGCAGAGAGGGGCACGCGGGTGGCGTTGGCGATATCAACAGCTATAGCCGTGAAGAGATCTGCGTCAAGTAGGACGGAAGCCGCCGCCCAGACGGCAGCGGCGGTGGCGGCGATGTAGGCTTGGCGGTCCATGGTGAGGTGCGGCAGGTGGCGGGCCGTGTGGAAGATGGCCTGGTCTGCTAGAGGGAGCAGCGCTGCACTACACGCGTCATAGTCCCACGCCCACATCATCTGTCAGGGAGGGGAAGAAGGAGCGAGGAAGAAGCAGGAGCGGGGGGGAAGGAAGAGGGCTGGGTGAGGGGGAAGGTGGGGGAGGTGGGGGAGGGAGGTGCGGCAAGGGGATGGAACGGGCCTGGTCGGCCAGAGGCAGCAGCGCTGCATTGCATGCGACATAGTCCCACGCCCACGTCATCTGAACGTCGAGAGGGGAGTAGGGGGGAGAGAGAATTTGGAAAGTATGACCGGGGGGAAATGGTGGGGAGCGCCAGGGAAATGGGAAGAGTGATGGACTGGTTGGCCAAAGGCGCTGCATGCATCATCTGCAGGGGGAGAGCGAGAGGGGAGGGGAACTTTTCACGATATAGAAGGGCAAAGCTGACCCTCACAGCGCGGATTCACCATCACAGCCTGCAGTCAACAACTTTTGAAGCGGCTTGAATCAAACAACGACGTTGACCCTCACCTCCCAGACGTAGAGCGCATCAGCGAAGGAGAGCTCGCGGCGGAACATGGCCATGACTGTGCGCACCGTGAAGAACATGGTGCCCGCTCCTATCTCGTCTGATGAGGTGGGGGGGGAGGGAAGAGGAGGAAGAGGGGAAGAATGTGAGGGGGTCGGAGGGCATGCAACAAGGAAGGAGAGGTCGCAGAGAGCTCATAGCAGAACATGGCCATGACGGTGCGGACGGTGAAGAACATGGTGCCGGCTCCTATCTCGTCTGATGGGAGAGAGAACGAGAGGGAAAAGGGAAGAATGGGTGGGAAACAGAGGGCATGCGCAGAGGAAGGAGGGCTTGTAGAGAGCTCATAGCGGAACATGGCCATGACGGTGCGCACTGTGAAGAACATGGTGCCTGCGCCTATCTCGTCAGATGGGTGGTGGGAGAGGGGAGGGGTGTGGGTATAGTATAGCGACGAGAGTGAGGGAGTGGGAGCATGCATGCATGCAGCAAGCCAGAGCCAATCTCGTCTGAAAGCATGCATAGAGTGAAAGCATGCACTCACCCAAGTGACGAACTTACCTAAGTGAGCATGCAGCTCAGGGTCAAGAGTGTAGACCATGTGGGAGAGGCGGAAGGTGGGGGGTGCGCATGCAGCTCGCACAAGCGCACGAGAACACTCACACTTACCTAAGTGAGCATGCAGCTCAGGGTCGAGAGTGTAGACCATGTGGGAGAGGCGGAAGGTGGGGGGTGCGCATGCAGCTCGCACAAGCGCATGAGAACACTCACACTTACCTAAGTGAGCATGCAGCTCAGGGTCGAGAGTGTAGACCATGTGGGAGAGGCGGCTGATCTCCCTCTGAATGCCCAGCCCCGTGTCCGTGTTCATAAAGTCCTCCCTCTGGGAGTCAGTGACAGACAGTACACAGGTACAAGGGGGACAAACGAGCTCATGAATCTCACACGAGCGGCAGGCTCATCTCCCTCTGAATGCCCAGCCCCGTGTCCGTGTTCATAAAGTCCTCCCTCTGGGAGTCAGTGACAGACAGTACACAGGTACAAGGGGGACAAACGAGCTCATGAATCTCACACGAGCGGCAGGCTCATCTCCCTCTGAATGCCCAGCCCCGTGTCCGTGTTCATGAAGTCCTCCCTCTAGCACGCAGTGACAGCGAGCACACAGGTACAGGGGTAAGGACTTAAGAGGTTGATAAATGGGAGAGAGAAACCTGAGCCGCTTCCAGCTCATCTGCCTCTGAATGCCCAGCCCCGTGTCCGTGTTCATGAAGTCCTCCCTCTGGTGGCGCATAGACAAGTAGAAAGATGGGGTGAAGATGCAAGACAATGAAGGATAAGAGAGAGAGCACTGAGGTGCTTCCCACAGGCTCATCTGCCTCTGAATGCCCAGCCCTGTGCGCTTCTGTTCAAGTTGGAAGAATGCTCATCTTTTCATGACGTCCTCCAACCAGCCCACGACTCACCACTCTCCTCATGAGCCTTTTGAACGCCCAGAACGCGTCGGCGTCGTCGGGGTAGAGCACGACCATGGGGGACATGAGGTCGCTCATGCCCTGGCAGTACCCCACCTCGGGGTCAAACCACGCGTACACCGCCAACACGTTCATCAGGCGCGCTCGGCTGCGGCTGATCTCAAAGAAGAGCAGCGATCGATCGGCTCTTGTCACGTCTACTCCTGCAGTGGAAAAGGGGAGTGGGGAGGGGTGATGGGGGAAGGGTGGGGTGATTGGGGGTGGGGGGCAGAAGGGTCGAACCATGCATATACCACCAGTAAGTTCATGAGGCGCGCTCGGCTGTGGCTGCTCTCATAGAAGAGCAGTGAGCGATCAGCTCTTGTGGCGTCTACCCCTGCAGGGAGATGGGAGAAGGGGGACGGCAGAAGGGGGGGTTGGAGGGGTCGAACCACGCGTACACCGCCAGCACGCTCATGAGGAGCGCGCGGCTGCTGCTGCTCTCAAAGAGGAGTAGCCAGCGATTGGCCCGGGTCACATCTACTCCTGCAGGGGAGATAGGGCGGGCGGGGGAGAGGGTGTGGGGAGGGGATGGGGTATAGGAGATGGAGAGGGGATCGGGAGGGGCGTGGGGAGGGAATGGGGCAAGGGAGATGGGAGAAGGGATTAGGGAAGGGATTTGAACAAAGATGGATACTTACGCTGACAGATGGTGGTGACAGACAGCTTGAGGGGTGAAAGGGTGGAGGATGGCGAACGGATTTTCCGGGCCAGCGGCCAGCCAACTCGTTGACCCTGTTTGCCGACCCATGTGGCAAAACCCCTGGTGCCACTTCACCTGAGTGATTATCTTTCTTGGTGTAGGCTTTTACTGACCTATTTGATAGAGCCCCTGGCGCCACTTGTGGATTCGGTCCAGCCACACGCGCGCCACCACCTCTGCATTGACTCGTACAGCATTTGGTTCGACTCATATGTCAATTGGGTTGAACCCAAAAGTGCATTTCACCCGAATGCTGACCTATTTGATAGAGCCCCTGGCGCCACTTGTGGATTCGGTCCAGCCCCACGCGTGCCACCACCTCTGCCCTCTCTGCCGCCCACGTCCTCATCGCCTCGTCCACTGCCGTCTCACTCGCCCTCCGCCCCCTCCCCTTGCTGCCACCACCGCCAGTGCCACTGCCACCACCACGACCACCACCACCACTGTCACTTGTACCTCCCTCCACTTCGCCCCCCTCCCCCTTCCCTTCCTCCTCCTCCTCCTCCTCCTCGCCCTCCTCCAGCACCCCCAGCTGCGCCCCGGTCTCCTCCCACGCGGCGTCGAGGGGCGGGATGGGCGGCACGAGGCGCAGCGGGCCGGTATAGGAGTCTGGGAGATCGACCTCTGAGCCATCATCCTGGGGAAGGGAGGGGGAGGTGGGAGATTGGAGAGGAAAACAGGGGGCGTGAGGGGAGAGGGGCGGGATGGGCGGCACGAGGCGCAGCGGGCCGACGTAGGAGTCCGGGAGATCGACCTCTGTGCCATCGTCCTGGCATTGGGGGCCATTGAAGGAGCGGGGGGAGGGGGGATGGGGGGGTGGTGGTGAGGGGAGAGGGGCGGGATGGGCGGCACGAGGCGCAGCGGGCCGACGTAGGAGTCCGGGAGATCGACCTCTGTGCCATCGTCCTGGCATTGGGGGCCATTGAAGGAGCGGGGGGAGGGGGGATGGGGGGGTGGTGGTGAGGGGAGAGGGGCGGGATGGGTGGCACGAGGCGCAGCGGGCCGACTTAGGAGTCTGGGAGATCAACCTCGGTGCCATCGTCCTGGCAGGTTGGCATTGTGGGAGGAAAAGGAGGGAGTGGGGGGTGGGCGTGGGTGGGGGGGGGGGGGGGGGGGAGGTTTAGGGGGTAGGGAACATACGCCTCCCCCTCTCTTATGCACTCATCTCCACCCGTCTCCACCCCTCTGCAACCACCATCACCCTTCACCGCTCTGCACCCACCTGGACCCTGGGGAAGTCGACCACAAATCCGCTGCCAATGACAGGGTCCACGAGCTGGCACTCCTTGAGCATTGCAGCATACGCCTCCCCACTCCTACTCTGTCATGCATCCATGTCCGCCCTACTCCACCCCTCTCCACCCTTCTCCACCACCCTTCACCGCTCTTCACCACTCTGCACCCACCTGCACTCTGGGAAAGTCAACCACGAAGCCACTGCCAATGACCGGGTCCACGAGCTGGCACTCCTTGAGCATTGCAGCATATGCCTCCCTGCGCATGCTCCTCAGCTCGCCACACTCGCCACTCGTGGCTGCCGGGCTGACCAGCCCCAAGAGGTACTCCCATACCTCCGGCCGAATGCCCGGCTCACAGCCCTAGGGAAGGTTTGAGAGGAGAAATGAGAGGAGGAAAGGGATGACACAAAGCATGTGACTCTATACATGCCTCTCTCCACACTCGCCACTCGTGGCTGCCGGGCTAACCAGCCCCAGCAGATACTCCCATACCTCCGGCCGAATGCCCAGCTCACAACCCTGGGGGAAGAAGAGGTATCAGTAAGAGAACAACGGCGGGGAAATGAGAGGGGGGACAACATATGCCTCCCTGCGCATGCCCCTCAGCTCGCCACACTCGCCACTCGTGGCTGCCGGGCTGACCAGCCCCAGCAGATACTCCCACACCTCCGGCCGAATGCCCGGCTCACAGCCCTGAGGGGGGGTGGGGGTGGGGGGGTTGGATTGCCAGGAAAAAAACATGGGAGGGGTTACAAGCAGAGCAGCATTCGCCTCCCTGCGCATGCTCCTCAGCTCGCCACACTCGCCACTCGTGGCTGCAGGACTGTCCAACCCCAACAAGTACTCCCACACCTCTGGGAGAATGCCCGGCTCACAGTTCTGGGGAAGAAGAGGTTTCAGTGGGGAAACACGGGCAGGGAAATGAGGGGGGAACGGGTTAGAAGCAGAGCAGAATATGCCTCTCTGCACATGCCATATAGTTTGCCGAACTCAGCAGTCGTGGCTGCAGGGCTGACCAGCCCTAGCAGGTACTCCCACACCACACCTCAGCATGACACATCCCACTCAGCAGGACAAATCCAACTCAACATGACACAAATACATACCCCGCGTTGTATGAGGCGGAGGGGCAGCGTCAAGGTTGACCATGCGTGGTGAATTCTAAGCACACAAAATCCATCCTTGAGAGCACTCAAGCAGCTAGCCAAACATGCATACCCCTCAGCACGCCACATACGTACCCCGCGCTGTATGAGGCGGAGAGCAGCCTCAAGATTGACCATGCGCCCCTCCGCATCAAACATGTCGTTCCACTTCTCCTCCGACAGCCGCTTGCTCGCCTGCCATCCCATGCCATGCCATGAAATGTCACGCCATGCCATCCCATGAGATCAGATGCAATGCCATACCATGTCATGCCATGGCGTCATGTGCCATGCCATGCCATGCCATGCCATGTCATGCCGGCACAACAGAACATGCCACATCATACCGTCAGGGGGAGTGGGAAGAGGGATGCATTAGGGGGAGGAGGCGTCTGTGTCACAGACTCTGTGGTTTGTCAAGTTTGACGGCAGAACGGAATAGTTGATCATGAAAGCGGGAAGGGGAAGATTCAAGACACACGAGGAAAGAGGTGCTCGATGGCTGACTCACCCAGGATAGAAACTCACCCGCGGCACATCCTGACGCTCCTGGCACACGAAGAGCACGGAGTGACTTGGAATTTTTCTCTTTTCTTAAAGGCCACCTGTTTCCTGATTCACCCGCGGTCACAACTCACCTGCGGTCGGAACTTCCTGACGCTGCCGACCCGCACGCCTGGCGCACGGGGTAGCACGCTTCCAGGCGACAGTGAGTCTGTTTTGAGCAGTCCCAAACAACCTGACTCACTCGGGATTGGTGGAACTCACCCGCGGTCGGAACTTGCTGATGGTGCCGACCTGCACGTCCTGGCGCACGGGATAGAACGCATCTAAGTCCTCCTCCACCAGCCCTCCCTTGAAGAACCCTCGGAAGAACGACAGCGCCATCGCTGGCACGCCGAGGGTTGTGAGTGGACCGGATCAGCGGCTTCAGGAACCGTGTCGTGTCATGTTTCCGTCTTCGTTACATGTCCCGTCGTCGTGCCATGTCCCGTCAAGTCACGACATTTCGAGTGGTGTCATGTCGTTTGGGCCTGTATCATGCGATTGGTGTGGTATCGTGTCGCGTTACTGCATGCGCTGCGGTATCGTGTCAGTTCATGTCATGGTCGTGCGATTCCTGTATGTCAGTTTCCGCGACGCGTTTTCGAAAAGACGAAAACTTGCTCCGGAAAGTATCATGCTAACGGTCAAGAATATACACGCAGTCGTATTCACGCGCCTCGCGAGTGTTACTGACTAGGTTTTGCGGATTCCGAAAAAACAGAAATCATGATTCCTACTGCGCAATATTGTCCGTTCTGCACTTCTTAGTGCCCTCCGTAGAACCAGACGCAATGCTAGGTGTACCATCATGTAAGGTCAAGCTTTAGGAACGACAGCCTACCAACTAAGCTGTTCCAGTCCTTTGGTCAAGTCATGACAAAGCCTAACTCCAGCCTAGCCACTATTTGGTCTGGTGCCGCCAACGCATTTGGTTCCTACTGGAGAGTGGCTGACTGGTACAGTATTGTAGTTTGCGGGAGATCTCTTGGATTCGCACTGGGACTTGACCTGCTGCTGGCATTGGGATTGGTTGACTGTCCTGTTCTTGGGGTTGGCTTCTGTTTGTCAAGATATTGGCGAACGGACATGCTTCGATACTGTTACGAGTGCAATTGAGTGAACGAACGAGAATTGCACTATCGAAGCAAGAGTACAATGAGCGAAGGCATGAGCGAAGAATATATAGCGAGACTACAGTGGTAACGGTAATGCACTGTGGTTGTCGCGCGACGGGCCTGGGACTGAGGTTGGGAAAAGTGTCGAAGCGGAGGCCCGGAGCGCGGGTTACCCGCCGAGCCGTGAGGTCGGGGTGCGACGTGCGAAGGTGGCGGGCGGATTGTCGAGGCGAGGATTGCGAGTGGTAACGGTGCTGACTGTGGTGCTACAGTGATGTACGCGTTGAGCAGGGACGCGAAGTAAGGAAAAAGAGATTTTCCTTACACTACCCCCCCCCTTAAGGAGGTCCTCCTTACGAAAGTGCGTGTACATCCCTGAAGTTCCGGCTGCGCAGATACTCGGTGAGGACGGGGTGGTTTTCGATTCTGTCCAGGGGAACCCAATTGTCTTCGGTGGGTGTACGGTCCTTCCAGCGGAGTAAGAACTCGATCCTTCGGGTTCCTCGAGGGTCGCGAACTCTGTGACTCAGGATTTTCTCGGGGGTGATGATTGGTTCAGTCGGTGGTCTTGTCATGCTGGCTGGGCGATTGCGTGGCAGTTGGCTCGTGGACGGGACGTAAGGGCGAAGCAGGCTGACGTGGAACGAGGGGCTGACGTACCAGTCAGCAGAGAGGAGGAGGTGGGCGGTGACAGGTGTAAGCATGTGGCTTATGCGAAATGGCCCGCAGTATCGGGGGCGGAGTTTCGGGGTGATGGGCAGTCGGAGATTTTGGGTGTCGAGCAAAACTAAGTCGTCGGGCTGGTAAGTGACAGGTCTGCGGTGGCGGTCGGCGTTGCGTTTAGCGATGATGTTAGCTTTTTTAATTGCGTCTGCTGCCCTGGTCCGTGCTGCTTGCAAGATCTCGGCGAACTGTTGCGCGCGTGGAACCGGGTTGTCGGGATTCGGGGTCATGGGTACTGTTGGGTCTTGTCCGTAATTCAGGTAAAACGGTGACTGTTGGGTCGTGGCGGATGGGGCGTTGTTGTATGCGAATTCGATGAGTGGCAGTTGTTGTTCCCACGTGTTTGGGTCGTCGCACGTGGCCCGGATGAGTTGTTCCATGGTCTGATTCGTCCGTTCTGTCTGTCCGTCTGTTTCGGGGTGGTACGATGAACTAAACTGTAGTCGCGTGCCGAACTGCTGCCACAGGTTCCGCCAGAAGTTGCTGGTGAATTTCGTGTCTCTGTCGCTGATGATTGATGCTGGTATCCCGTGCAGTCGAACGACGGTAGAGATGAAAAGGCGGGCTGTTTCTTCGGCTGTGATTGATTTTTTGCAGGCTGCGAAGTGTGCCATTTTCGTCAGTCGATCGACGACGACCAGGATCGCGTCATTTCCACTCGCCCCGGCCGGTAACCCCGTGACGAAGTCCATCGTCACCTGCTGCCAAGCACGCTCTGGAGGTGGGATTGGCTGCAACTGTCCCGCCGGCCGCTTCCGCGTTGACTTCATGATCTGGCAAGTGGGACACGATGCCACGTGTCGCTGCACGTCGGTCAACATTTCGGGCCAGTAATAATACCGCTGCAGCTGCTGCCGTGTTTTCTCTACCCCGAAGTGTCCCGAGGTAACCCCGTCGTGTGCCTCCTGTAATAGTAATTCCCGTAGCAGTGTGTACCCTGGTACCCAGATGCGGTCGGTCCCGGCTTTTACGTAATAGACTCCCTTGGCTGCTGCGAACTGCTGCGAATTTCCTCCTGTGAAGAATGGGTCCGTTTGATATCCGTGGGTAAATAGTCCTGTCAGTAGCGGGCTGGTCTGGGCGAGTAGTATCGCGTGGATCTGGGCAGTGGGGCGGGTCAGTGCGTCGGCTATGTTCGAGGCTCCTTTTTTATAGGTGACTGTGTAGTGGAAGTTTGACTCGAGGAAATCGAGCCACCGAATCTGTCGTGGGTTGAGGTGGGGCTGTGCGTGGAGGTACTGTAGTGATCGGTGGTCTGTCCGTACTGTCACGTCTGCGCCGGTCAAGAAGCAGCGCCACACTTTGAACGCATGCACGATCGCGAGCATTTCGCGGTCGTGTATCGGGTAATTTCGCTCGGGCGGATGCAGTTTTCGTGACTCGTATGCGATGGGCTGTAGGCCGTTGCCGAAGTCCTGTAGCAGCACGGCTCCAATGGCGATGTCGCTTGCGTCTGTAACAACCTCGAAGGGGCGGTGTGGGTCGGCGATGCGCAGGACGGGCGGTGAACAGAGAACATTTTTCAGGGCAGAGAAGGCAGCATGCTCTTTCTCCCCCCAGGTAAAAACGACCCCCTTTCGCAGTAAATCCGTCAGCGGGGCAGTCAACTGTGCCATGTCGGGGACGAACCGACGAACATAATTAACGAACCCTAAAAAACTCTGCAGTTCCGTGATGTTCGTCGGGGGACGCCACGCTTTTACCGTATCCAGCTTCTTTGGGTCGATTTCAACTCCAGCCTCCGAAATAACGTGCCCCAAAAATTATAGTTTGTCCCGAAAAAACTCGCACTTAGAGCCCTTGGTGAGTAACCGATGTTCCTCTAAAACTTTAAATACTGCTTCGAGATCCGCTAAATGCTGCTGCTTGTCGCGACTGTAGACGAGGATGTCGTCGAGGTAAACTATCACGCATTTATCTAAGAGTGGCCTAAACGCCTCGTTCATGGTCATCTGAAATGTTGCGGGCGAGTTAGTCAGCCCGAAAGGCATCACCGTGTACTCAAACGACCCGTACCTAGTCCTAAATGCTGTCTTGGCGCAGTCCGATGGTTCGACCCGAATCTGATGGTAACCCCCCCGTAAGTCTATTTTCGAAAACACCCGTGTTGTTCGCAGTTGGTCGATCAGTTCGTCGGCGCGGGGAATGGGGTACCGCGACTTGACTGTTACCCTGTTGAGCGCTCGGTAATCGATGCACATGCGAAACCCTCCGTCTTTTTTTGGTGTGAACTGTCAGATTTATATGATAGAGCTACTGTAGGCTATAGTGGGGTAGCACATATGGGGTACAGTTGTTCTAGGGTTTGCATTTGTACCCAACTTTCCCTTAGTCATATTCATTCCTGTTTTCTTCATTCACATGGTATAGAGCGGGTTCCTATATGGGACCGTTCCTTCCTAAGGGCCCACCATAACGAATTTTTTTTTTAGCTGCCCGACGCGCATTGCGCCCCTGCCCTAATTTTTTTTTTTAGCGCCCCCCCCCCCTAGCGGCCCCTACGCGACCCCTACTCGGCCCCTACGCGGCCCCTACGCGGCCCCTACCCGGCCCCTACGTCGCCCCTGACGCGGCCCCTACGCGGCCTCTGACGCGGCTCCACCGCGGCCCCTGACGTGGCCCCTACGCGGCCCCTGACGCGGCCCCAACGCGGCCCCTGACGCGGCCCCTACGCAGCCCCTGACGCGGCCCCTACGCAGCCCCTGACGCGGCCCCTGCCGCGCCCCCTGACGCGGCCCCTACGCGGCCCCTACGCTACCCCTGAGGCGGCCCCTGACGCGGCCCCTCACGCGGCCCCTCCGCCGCCACTACCGCGGCCCCTACGCCGCCCCTGACGCCGCCCCTGACGCGGCCCCTGCCGCGGCCCCTGACGAGGCCCCTGACGCGGCCCCTGACGCGGCCCCTGCCGCGGCCCCTGACGAGGCCCCTGACGCGGCCCCTGACGCGGCCCCTACGCCGCCCCTGACGCGGCCCCTGACGCGGCCCCTGACGCGGCCCCTGACGCGGCCCCTGACGCGGCCCCTGCCGCGGCCCCTGCCGCGGCCCCTGACGCGGCCACTGACGCGGCCCCTGCCGCGGCCCCTGACGCGGCCCCTGACACGGCCCCTTCGCCGCCCCTGCCGCGGCCCCTACGCCGCCCCTGACGCGGCCCTCTCCTCCACCTGACGCGGCCCCTAGCGGCCGGCCGCTGCCGTCCCTGAGGCAGCAGCCGCCGCCGTCTTTGCAGCAGCAGTCGCAGCCGAACGGCCGAGCCGCCGAGCCGCCGAGCCGCCCAGCAGCCGAGCCGCCCAGCCGCCGAACCGCCCAGCAGCCGAGCCGCCCAGCAGCCGAGCCACCGAGCCGCCCAGCAGCCGAACCACCGAGCCGCCCAGCAACCGAGCCGCCGAGCCGCCGAGCCGCCCAGCAGCCGAGCCGCCGAGCCGCCCTGCAGCCGAGCCACCCGAGCCGCCCTGTCCGGTAAGAGCAGCGCCCCTTTCACAGCACTGCCCTCACCCTACTGTTTGC